AGACAGATACAGACAGACAGCCCCAGACACTGGGGAAGAGAGAGATAGACAGACAGATACAGACACACAGGTCCAGAGAGGGTGGGAGACAGAAAAGGTCTGAGAAAAACTGAAAAGGAGATGACATTTAGGAGAAGACGGAGGAAGTGGAACAAGGTCATGTCAGGTCATACAGTGACTTGACTTGCACTCCCCAAAATCAAGCGGACTCCGAGGTGTTCAGACCTATTTCTCAAATCAGCATTTATCTACAGTAATAACCACGTCCGTGAAATAACAACCGACTCATTTCGATTCGTGTCGAAGTTCCTGGAAACGGAGTTTTCTCCAGGACGTGGGTGGTCTACAGAATTCTCAAGACGTCCCGGACAGCAGAAAGAGTCGGTACCACCTGTGTGTGTCCGGGCCTGCCTGTCGCTCGGGAGTTGGACTGGTAGTCCACCCTCTCTCACAGTAACCTATCCCCGCCGCCTGCCAGCTTCAACCCTCAGAAAAGCGTTTCCTTCACCGCAGACCTGCTCATTTCCTGGTTCACGTGAAGCCTGTTCCGTTTGCCCTAAATTGAGCGATCTTAGCTCGTCGGACCCCGTGTCCGATCCTCGGTTCAAAACATGCCCGCCCCGTCTTCGTGGGCTCCGCTCGCGCACGACCGAGAGAAACAGCCCCGAGCCCGCCCGTACCGCCGTCTTGTCACGCGTGGAGAACCGTGGGACAGGATGGTTCTGCAGTAGCGACACGGCGATGCGATCATTTCATTTTTATTATTATTATTTTTTTTTAAATCGGGGAGCACGGAGAGGGAGAAACCGGAAAAGAGGCGAGAAAACGGGGCATCGGGAGGAAGGACGGGCGAAACGCAGTTCCACCCCGGGAGCGGGTCCCGGGGCCGGGGGCGGCAGTCGGGCAGAGCCCCCGAGTGCCATCCTCTCTGCCCGGCCGAGGTGGTGGGCAGGGAAGCCGCGGAACAAAAACAGAAAAACCGACCCCCGGCCAGCCGTGTCGCCCCGGCCGGGGCCGAGAGGCGAGAGGCAGCCGCAGTCGCCCGGTGTGTGTGTGCCAGCGCCGAGCGCCGCCTCCTCGGGCCTAGAGCGGCGGGACGGACCGACGCGCTCGGCTCCGGCTTCAGCGGCTGGCACAGAGATCGCCCCGGCTTTTGTTTGCGAGGGGGGGCTAAGGTGGTGTGGTGGGGGAGGTGTGTGTGTGTGTGT